CTCTCTCGTGTAGATATCATTAGACCCACGTTTTAGATGCGTAAACAGGCTCAGAGAGGTGCACAGCCCTGCCCAAGGCCACACAGCTAGAAAAGTGGAAGAGCCAAACCAACTCAGGCAGGCCCACTCCAGAGCCTGCAGTCCGAAGCACTCTCTTACAGGCACCCCCAAAAGTCAGGGCCTAGCAGAGAAAAGAGTTCAGAGGGGCCCAAGTAGCGTTTGGTCAAGATAATCTTCGCGACCACTTCCAGGGTAAACAGGCTCCCTATCCCTGACAGGAAGGAAGACTGCTCTGGAGACGCCGGAAGTGCCCTTTGGAGTTCTCATTTCTAAACGCAGAAGTTGTTCAGGGTGAGACTGCAAAAGAGATGCCAAGACCCTTTGCCTACCTTCTGTCTAGGTAATAAATCCTCCCAGGTCAAGGTGTCTGCCTCCCTCCCCAAGCCCCCAACAACTTCCAACCCCAAACAGTCCTTGTCTTGCCTGCTTCTTTCTAAATAATAATAACAGCCACCAATTCATGAGCACCAGGCAATACGCATTTGCACTCCATTTGTTCCTAATTTAGTAATAACAGAGGTACTGTGATTACCTCTACTTTACAGGTTAAAAATACAAAACCTGAAACCCTGAGTTTTCAGCATTGAACCCAAGGAGGGTCACACAGTTAGGAAGTGACTGGAATGGGGCTGGTCCCCACATCTTTTATTCCAGACCCCCAGCTCCTAAGTACCAGGTTAACGCACCCTAGCCCGCGATAACAACCCAAGTATCGGAAGGCCTGACTCCGTCGGCTATACCTGATCCTCTCTCCTCGTCCTCTCTGCCTAACTCGCTCTGTGGTTTCCCAGTCTGGGGCGCGCACGGGACCCCACCGCCAACAGAGGCCAGGAAGGGGAGGCAGTGTAGGTTCGAGCCCCGCCAAGCCCCGGTGACTGCGACCGCGCGCGAGCCACCTCCCCTTCCGGACCGTCAATCTCGGCCCCGGGGAAAGAGCCCCAGCGCGGCGCACACACACAGTAGGCGCACAATCAAGATGGGCGTTCGGCGATGGGGGAACGGAAACCTAGCTCGGACCGCCGCCGCCAGCAGCCGCTGCACAGTTGCCTCGGCTGTGTCGCGCGTCTTTCCCAAAGCCTCGCGTGAGGACCGTGCCCGCCGGAAGCAGACGTTTCAGGCGCCGGAGCGCGGACTACATTTCCCAGAGTGCCCCGCGCCGCTCCGGAGCAGCTAATTCCCGGGGTCTCCTATGGAGAGTGCTTCGCTGCTTTGAGGGGCTCCTTGGTGCTCTGCGGGGGGTTGGGAGGAACGGGCTTCAGCCTCTGGACTGTGGCGTCCTTGTCGTTGAGGCCGCGATTCCTCGCGTGCTCTGAGCCTCAGTTTCTACATCTGTGAATGGGGCACATTAACTCGTCCAAAACCATTCATTCACACATACATTTTTTTAAAGCCGCATATGGAGTCCTCCCATCTGCCAACTCTGCTAGGAGCTGGGTTACCGCAGTGGTGAGCAGGTGCTTTCATGGAATTTACATTCTACCAAGAGGGCATACAGTAGACAAAATAATTGCCCAAATAACTTAGTCACCTCTTTGATAAACGCCGCCAAGGAGTATAGAAAAGGGGATATGACTCCCTCAGGGTGGAAGTGACAACTGAGCGGACGTGTGAAGGCAGCACAGAGTTAACCTGGTGAGTCGGAAAAGAGAGTACCACACGGAAGGAACCGCAGGTGTGAAGGTGCTGAAGCCTGAGAGGTCGGGATGCGTTTGGGGGACAGAAAGCACACCAGCGTGGCCTGGGTGCAGGGGCAGAGGATTGGGAGAGGAGGTCAGAGAGGTGGGACCATGCAGGAGGGCAAAGGAGGCTCCTAAGAGCAATGGGAAACAAATAGAATTTGGGGTTTTAAACAGGATAATGTCGGAATAGGATAGGAAGTGTGGCTGAGTACAGATCTCAGGGAAACCAGAGTCTGGAAGCTCCTGGAGTGTTCCAGAGTTGAGGTAACACTAGTAATGGTGGTGGTCACAAGGGACATAGCTGACCCAGATTCCTGAAGCAGAATAACAGGGGCTGGTGGTTGATTTGGTTGGGGTGAAGGAGAGTCAAGATTAACTCATTAGTAAAATGGGGATATCATCTGCCATAGGCACCATTGTGATTAAAAGAGGTGAAACAATCCCTGACACATAAAAAAGGCTCAAGATATGCTAATTTTGTAAAAGAAAAAAGAAAAAAAAAAGACTACCTCTGTGTTCAGAGCAGTATTTGTAATGGCAAAACCTAAAAACAATCTTGGTGTCAATCAACAGAATGATGGATAAATCTCACAGAGACGATGTTGAGCAAAAAAAGCAAGTGGCAGTATGGTATCATTTCCATCAATTATAAAAACATACAAAACAATACTACATATTTAGGTGTATACACATATGTATTAAAGGGTACAGAAATGCTTGGGGTTTGGATAAACACCAAATTCAGGATGATGATTACTCATGGAGGTGGGGCAGGGGTTGGAGAGAGATGTGATGGGAGATTGCAAATTTTAATATCTTTTTTAACAACAAAACAACAAACAACAACAAAAATAACCATTGTTGGGAATTTGCATTCCTGAAGTATTGAAACCTATCAAATGTTTCCATAAATAATTTTTTCCCCCTTTTTCATTGGGGAATTGGGGGGATGGGAACAGTGCTGGGGAACTGGTGGAAGGGGAACAGACAAGTTGTTGTGGTTTTGTTCTTCAGTCTAGTTGTGGAGGACGTTGCTTCACTGACCCATGTTGGTATTATCATTGCGCTCTTCCCGGGTGAGGCAGATCAGTCGCCGCCTTCTGGACGGCGGCTCACAGCGGCTGCTGGCTACACACGGTAGCCCATGGCAACCCACCTGCCACAGGGGCTGCAGCCTACGCCGTCGCCAGGGACTCATGGCAGCCCAGCTCCAGGTTGAGCTGTTGCTCAGCATCTTAGCTGTGGAGGGCAGTGTCACTGGCCCTCATATGTGGGATCCGAACTGGGGCCCTCTAGCGTCCCAAGCCAGTTCTTAACCATCGCGCCACTCGGCCGGCCCTCATAAATAATTTTAAATACATGCAGTGCTAATTTTTAAGCAGGCCTTGTTGGCCCTATACTGTTTCTATTTTAACCTTTAAACATTTCTCTATAAAATTTTTCTACTTGAGGTGTAACATATCTATAATAAAGTGTACAAATCTTAAGTGTATGTCTCAAAGGATTTTACAGCGCTATACACCTGTGTACCCTCCCCCCAGATTAAGATATAGGTCATTTTTAATACTTTAGAAGGCTCCCTTGTGCTTCCCAGCCCCGGTCAATACCCGTAACCTTTGCCTGAAACCACTGATCTGATCTCTATCACCTTAGATTGATTTTTCTGGTTCTTGAAGTCTGTAAATGGCATCCACACAGAATGTTTTCTTTGCTGTCTGACATCTTTCACTCGTCGTTATGTCTGTGAGCGTCATCCACGCTGTTGCGTTTGTCAGTAGTTGGTTCATTTTCATTTGTCAAGGACCATTCCATTGTATGCCTATACCACAATGTATCCACTTTCCTGTCACTGGATATTTGCCCTATCCAGTTTGGGGCTATCATGCACAAAGCTGCTATAAACATTCTTGCCCATGTAATCTGGTGGATGTTTTATGGTACCTGGTACTTGGGAATTGTTGCCTTACAGCTGCCTAACTGTTTGTGCCCCTGCGCCGATCCCATGACATCATAAGGAAGTGTCTCAGAGGGCTGAGACCCCATGAAATGATATCAGTCATTCTCCCTTATCGGATGGTTTCGGTACAGTGACTCCATCCCCTGGGGTTCTACGTGTGTATGAAGGCACAGTACGTGTTGGAGTACAATGGAGACTTTCGGGGAAAACAGTGGTCAGGCATGAAACTCACAGACCGTGGAAAAAACAAGTTTCACTTCCTTGTAGGAGTACTCATAAAAGCTATGCGTTGGCCCAATTCAGGGCTCAGTCCTCAGAGACTTTAATCCCTGGGCCCCGCTTTAGCCTTATACTAGACTCTTGTTTTTCTTAACCCTGCGCTGCCCCTCTCCTTCTCCACAGCCCTTGCCGCGTGGGACGCGACAGGCAATTCATCTTGTGATTCCCCATTTTTAACAAATACTCCCTGAGGAGGCCGATTATCTCAGTTGGTTAGAGCACAGTGCTCATAATACCAATGTTGATGGTTCGATTTCCACATGGACCACTGAGATGCACCCGCCACAACTAGATTGAAACAACTACTTGACTTGGAGCTGATGGGTTCTGGAAAAACACACTGTTCTCCAATTTAAAAAAAAAATGCTCCCTATTGTTATTTAATAAGATGACTGTATCGTGATAACATGAACCTGCTTAGTGTACCACACAATCAACACCCCCCCACACACCTCCAAAACAAAACAGTTAGAAAAACTCCTTATGGGATCTTGGCATCTGTGAGCAGGTTTGTCCTCACACAACGGTAAGGTAGGAGGTTGGTATTGCTATCCCCGTTTCACCCAGGAGGAAATGGATTCCGTGGTGTAGGATGACTTCTCTAAAGTCCTGCAGTTAAAAATGGGCAGTGCTGAACTTGGAACCCACACTTGCTGGGCTTGGGAAATCTCAAGATGTGTCAGGTGAGGGTTTCGTCCTCCTGTCGGGCGAGAAATGTGAAGAAATCTATGTTTGGCCCTTAATCGGCACACAACTGAGAGTCTATGTTACGCATGAACTGCAGAGTCATCTTGGGTGTTGCAAGACCTTCCAGAACTGGAGGTAAAGTCATCAGCGGAGAGTAGGACCAACACTTCCTGGAATACCCTACCCTTTCCTCGCCCCCCCAAAAAAGATTGCTTCAGTGAATAAGAGCGGATGGCAGGGTGGGAAAGCAATGCAAGGGGTTTATTAGAGCCTGGAGGAGGTGCCAGTTGTGGGGAGGGCTCCAGGAGGGTGATCAGGCAGGGGGATGGAGGAGTCAGGCTATCAATCTCCATGGGTAATCCTGGTCAGGGCCAAGAGCTAATATTTTAAATGTACTGATGTTTTCTGAATAGGTAATACATGCGCCTGATTAACAAGCCGTTCACTCAGTACTAAAGGAGACAGAGAGAAAATGAAATCTCCTTTCCACTCCTGACTCCCAATCCAGTTGCCCCCCCCCCAAGAAGCAACCATTTGCCTCATTGTCCTGAAAACCAGTCCAGAGATATTTATGCTTTGTGTGCTGCCATCCACGATGCACTCTATTACTCCTTTTTTCCTCTCATCAATATCCTTAGATGATCCATCAGTATCTATACAAACAGAATAATGGGAGGGAACTCAAATTGGACAGGTTGTGGGCCTGCCCTTCCCCCACCTCTCTGTCCTCATTCCCCGCCCCCCTCCTAGTTCATGGTGCTACAGGCACACAGGCTGTCTTGTCTTTTCTTGAACACATCCAGTACACTCCTACCCCAGGGCCTTTGCACTTGCAGTGCCCTCTTCTCCTTCTGTCTGGAATATACTCTGCCCCCCACATATCCCTATAGTTTATTCCTTTACTCTTTCCTGTCTTTACTCAAAGTTCCCTTCTCCACTTGGCTCTGCCTGACCCCCTTCTTGCAGTTGCAAACCCCCTCGATCCTAGACAGCTCTATACCCCTTAAATACCTTACTTGGTGCCAGGGCACCCATCACAATGCAACATGCTCAGCATTTTACTTATTTGTTTTGTTTATTGTCATCTTGCCCCACCCAGGGACAAGCTCCTGAGGGCAGCAACTTGGCTTTCTTTCTTGCAGAACCCAGCCTCCGTAGCAGCACATAGTGGGCCCTGGAGATCTGTTCCTGGAAAGAATACATGGATGATTGTAGAGCCTGCCTCAAATGTTTTTCTCCTCCAGGTTTATTAAAATATAATTGACGAGTAACATTGTCTAAGTTTAAGGTGATATACGAATCTATTGTGAAATGATTACCACAATAAGTTAGTTAACACATAGTTATCTTTTTGTGTGCGTGGTGAGAACATTGAAGATCTACTCTCTTAGCAACTTTCAAGCATAGATAATACAGTTTTGTTAACTATAATCAACGTGCTGTACATTAGTATTTAGAACTTATTCATCTTATAATTGACAGTTTGTACTCTTTGGCCAATATCTCCCCATTTTCCCCTACCCGCAGACCCTGGCAACTAGCATTCTATCCTGTTTCTGTGAATTCAACTCTTAGATTCCACTTATAAATGAGATCATGCCCTGTTTGTCTTCGTTCTTATTAGGACCACCTTATATTCCATGGTGTGGTGGGCTGAAGAATGTCCCTATAGAGATATCCAATTCCTGCTCCAGGACCTAGAGATATGTTATATGACAAAAGAGACTTTGCAAATGTGATTAAGGATTTGGAGATGGGAAGGTTATCCTAATTATCCCAGTGGGTCCAATGTAATCACAAGGGTCGTATGAGGGGAAGGAGGCAGAGGGAGATTTTACCGTGGAAGGCAATGTGGTAACTGAAGCAAGATGGGAGGAAGGGGCCAGGAGCCAAGGAATGCGGGCGGCCTCTAGAAGCTGGGAAAGGCGAGGAAATGGATTCTCCTCTCAAGCCTCCAGAGGCGGCACAACCCAGCTGACACCTTGCTTTTGACCCAGTGATACTGATTTCAGACTTCTGACCTCCAGAACTGTGAGAGGATAAATGTGTGTCATTCAAGCGTCCAAGTTTGTGCTAATTTGTTACAGCAGCCACAGGAAACTAATACACACGGTATGGGTGTCCCATGATTTACTCTCCAGTCCACTCCTGGTGGACAGGTAGGCTGTTTCTTGTCTTCACTACACTGAGTACCACTACCAGTGGTTCTCAACCCGGGAGAGTGTGCCTCCAAGGGGATATCAGGCAACATCTAGAGACATTTTTGATTGTCACAGTTTGGATGGGGGTGCTGTGGGGGTGGGGGGCGTTGGCTAGTCAGTGCTACTGGCATCTAGTGGGTAGAGGCCCAGGGATACTGCTAAACACCCTACAATGCACAGAACAGCCCCCGCACAAAGAATGACCTGGTCCCAAATGTCAGTAGTGAGGTTGAAAAACCTGGTCTATCTGTAAGATTCGTTCCTAAAAATATAATTGCCGAGCCAAAGGGCGTGTGCTTTTGAAATGTTGCAGACATTGCCATATTGCCTAGGGCTAATATTTACTTTGGGCACGTGCTCGGTCCCTATGTAGCAACATCTCTGAGATGTTGGTGTGGATGGTATGGGTGCCCCCCAAGCCTGGAATCAGCTGCTTTGTAAAGTTGATGGGTAAATAGCCATGAGGCAGGCATTGCAGGGTTTATTCATGTAATAGTCGGGTCTTGAACACATGTCACGTGCTGAATGAAGCCGACATATCTCTGCTCTCACAGAGCTCCAAATCTAATAAACCAGAAAATAAACCATGTGACACATACACAGAGTGGGCAGTGAGTACATTGGCCTGGGGAAGTCCAGGAGGGCTTCATAGAAGAGGTAACTTTTAGCTGGCGTGATGGTTAATTTTATGTGCCAACTTGACTGGGCCAAAGGAGTCCCAGATGGTTGGTAAACATTATTTCTGGGTGTGTCTGTGAGGGTGTCTCTGTAAGAGATGAGTATTTGATTTAGTAGACTGAGTAAAGATGATCGCCCTCCCCCGTGCATGTGGGTATCATCCAGTCCATTGAGGTCTCGAAAAGAACAAAAAGGCGGAGGAAGAGAGAATTTGCTCTCTGATTGAGCTGGTGCCCTCAGACACCAGCAAGCCTGTATCTTGGGTAGTTGGATTCCGGCTGCCACTTACACCATTGGCGCCACCCCAATTCTCAGGCTTTTGGTCTCAGAAGGAATTACATCACCAGTTTTTCTGGGTCTCTAGCTTGCAGATGGCAGAAGTTAGCCAATTCCTGTCCTCTCTTTCCGTCTACACACACACACACTCACACACACACACGCACGCACGCGCGCGCGCGCACACACACACACACACACGCATGAGTATATATCCTGTAGGATCTGTTTCTCTAGAGAACTTTAATACCCACGTTGTCACTCACTGAATGCTCACCACATACTCTCTCCCTCAGGAGCTTGGGTATTCCTCCCTGGATTATCAGAGTCACCTGTCCTTTTGTTACCAAACTAACTGAGCTTCAGGCCTCCACTATGTGGGATTCCATGAAGTCCCTTTATTTTTGAGGGTTCCAGAAAGTCCTGGGAAGTGCTCACACATCTGCAGGCACAGCCTCCGCCCCACCTGAGCTCTCTCCTGATCCCCTCACCTGTGTCTGAGAGCCATTTCTCCAGGCTGTGGAAGGCACATTCCACGAATTACTCCATTTTGTCTGCACAATGCAGTGAGAGCAATGCTGCGAGAGCAATGCTGCCGTCCCTTTTTATAGATGAGGTAACTGAGGCCCAGGGAGGGTAAGTGACTTGCCCAAGGTCACGTGGCCGAGAGGGGATTTCACATCAGCTTTGCCAGACTTCAAACTTGGAGCTGTTCTCACCATGTACTCCTCAGCCAGGACAGGGAAAAGAGAAAGGCTGGGGCAGGGGATGGGGGTTTGAGGAGAAGGGCGAAGAGTTTGGAAAAGATGGCCAAATATGGGCGTCTTTGTGATGCTGTGGGTCTGGCCATGGGCTGGAAGGGAGGGTTGGGACTAAGGGCACCAAGGGCACAGCCTGATTTGGAACTTGACTCCGGCCCTAGGGCAGAAGGCGCTGGTCATCAAAGCACACCCTTCTATGTCTTCGCGACTCCCCAGGGCCAGGGCTCTCACGCTGTTACTTAAAAAAGAACCATACTTTTATTGAGGATAGCCCAAAGAAGTCATTTACAAAATGCCTTTTGTTCTCAAAGCACAGCTTTTTCTACAAAGAAACCTCCACCTTTAATACATGCTCTCTAATACACAGGTGTATGTTGGGGGGCTGTGCACTCGGGGAGTCTCGCAGGCCTGGGGTATGTCCACGCTCAGTACTCCTCTGTGGTATTGTCATGGATCCGCCGTCGGCCGACCTTTGAGGGCCCAGCGATGACTGGGGAGCTGGGGGGGGTCCGGGCCAGGTTCACCCAGCCAGGCCCGCGGGGCAGTACATGGCTATCGTTGAGTCTGCAGACGCGGTAGTTCTCGTAGTGGACATTGTGGGTGATGTCCTTCAGATCTTGTAAGTGGGAGCTGGGAGATGGGCAGCAGGTCAGCCTAGGCTGACCATAGCAAAGCCCAGGACCCCTGCAGCCCCCTGGGCTCCCTGCACCCTCACCGGATGAGCAGGTCTCTCAGGAGGGTGAACTCACAGTGAGCCATGTTCTCCACTGCAAGACAGGACACTGAGCACAAAGTAAGCACCACTGTATACTGCACAACACCTAATACCTACCACTGCACTTTTCCCACACTTCTTACCTGTCTTATCCCACCTCCTTTTCTCGCTTTAGTCATTCATTCAAACATTCACTCATTCACTCATTCATTCAATGTTGTGTCCCTGGTGCCTGGTATAGGTGGCTCCTAAAAATAGTTGGTGAATCAATGAATCCACTGACCATTTATTATACACTTAATAATGACTATAGTATAATCTGTATGTTGTGCCACATATAATGTATTATATATTATATTCTACTTTTAATAATTATATTGATAAATATAGGGGGCTCAGGCCCTGGCCGTTTCTCCTTCACCTTCCAGTCTCACCCTCTGCTACTCCCTCAGGTAGCTACCCTCGCACTCCACGTATTTCCTTCATTGCACTTCTCCCACCTGTCGTTGTCTCATCAGCTCTATGGGGACAGGGGATCCTGTTGGTCCTGCTTTCACTGTCTTCCCTCAGAAACTGCACATAGTAGGCCCACAGTAAATTCTGACATGTAAATAGGGCGCCTTCTGGGTGTCAGGCATTGTGCAAAGCAGTGGCCCTGCCCCCTCCAGCCACCCTATGAGGTTGGTGTTACCATGATGCCCATTTTACTGTGAGGACACTGAGGCCCAGAGAGTCAGTAACTTGCCTGAGCCCTCTCAGCTGCAAAGAAGGACTTGATCCCAGGTCTGTCTGTTTTCTGGCTTAGGGCTTAACACTGGGGCCCTGCGATAGGTGCTAAGGGTCCCAAAGGCAACAGTGCATGCCTGGGTTTCCAACCCATTCTCACCTGTGTTTCCCCAAACGCCTGCACTGACCTTCAATGACGCCCCACTTCGTCTTCCGGCCCAGCACACACCTCCCGTTCACCAGGTGCTCTCGGTCAGCCCCAACCACAGCAAAGGGGATCCGTTCCTGTGGGAAGGGGACAGGATGGGAAGGTTGGCCCCACCTGACAGGTGGAGAGATAAGACCCCCAGGTAGGAAGGGTAGGCATTGTCCTTTACGGGAGCAGAAAGTGATAGAAGAAGCATAAGCTATCTAACGAGTCAGAAGATGCAAAGTCAAATCAGTGCCTCGGTTTCCTCATCTGTAAAGCAAGAGTCATAATAGTACTGACATAGGGCTTTGGGAATGTTTGGGAGGCGCTTAGCATAATTAAGGGTCAGCAGAGTAACCCTTGGAAACTGTGTCATTACTAATAGCCACGTGACTAATACAATCTTGCTAACGTCAAATCTCTTCCCTGTGAAACAGGAACAGTAATCGCCTTTGACTGTGAGTTACCATGATAACTTTGTAAACCGGGGGTTGGCCACCTATGGCTCACAGGTCAACCTGGGCCTACCTCTGGTTTTCCTCTGTAAAGTTTATTGGCACACAGGCCTGCCCATTCAGTCACTCTCGTCTGTGTGGCTTTCTCACTACCACAGCGGAGGCGAGTAATTGCAACAGAGACCACTTGGCTCAGAAAGTCTACAACATTTGCCATCATCTGGCCTGTCAGAAAAAAAGTTGCCTAAACCCTGTTGTAAATTTTAGTTGTTTACTTGCTCCTTGTCGGAAGTGGGGATTCAAGCTTCTAAACTCCTAAGTGCCATAATATGGGTTTGTTTTTATTTTAAAAACTTAATTTGTGATAGGGATTAAAACTGATCCTAATAATAATAACTATCTGTTGCACACTTATTATGTGCCAGCCCGTAGTAAACCCTCAATAAATGTTATGCGTCTGGGTGATTTATTGAGATATTTGAGAACATGCTCTTTGTATTTCGCCTAGCTCTGTTCCAGCTGTGGCCAGGCTGCTATCTGCCTGCCTTGAGACAGAAACCAGAAGTTGGTGAAAGTCAGGGTTCTTTGAATCTTTCACAGGAAATCCTGTTCATTCGTCCAGTGGGGAGGGGAAAGAGAGACTGCGTAGAGAAACTGGGTGCCAGATGGGAAGCCTGCCTCCATGTACAGATGTGCAGTTTGTGCGCTGCACAAGGGCAACTGGACATGAGGCTGTGTAGGCCCCTAACTATTAAGGAAGCTGCTGCCTTTTTCTAATTCAAGCAAAATTGCTGGGTAGGCTAGCTGGGTTCCTGGGGGAGGGAGTTGAGGCCTGGTGTCTGTGGCTAATGAAATGAACCCCAGGCCTCAACCACATGCTTTGCAGGATCTAGATGGACTGACATTGAATGCACCACAGGGACAGCGAGATGAGGGCTTGGAGTTGGAATTCGGTTAATTCAAAGAAAATGAATATGAGAGCTAGTTCCCTCCTTTTCTGTAACAGTTTTATTGAGATACAAATCACATACCACAAAATTCACCCTTTTATTTATTTATTTTAAAAAGACTTTATTGGGGAAATGGGGGAGGGGAACAGCGTTTGGGAATCGGGGAAGGGGAACAGACAAGTTGCTGTCCTTTTTGTTCTTCAGTCTAGTTGTGAAGGACATCGATTCACTGACACATGTTGGTATTATCATTGCGCTCTTCCCGGGTGAGGCATTGTGCTCTTCCTCGGTCGCTGGCCACCGGACGGCTGCTCACGGTGGCTCTTGGCAGCTCACGCTGGCTGCCAGCCACTCACGGTAGCTTATGGCAACCCACTCACTGCAGCCTACATGGTCGCTGGCCCAGTTCCAGGTCGAACTGTTGTTCACCATCTTAGCTGTTAGAGGGTGCATTGTCACTGGCCCTAATGTGGGATCCGAACAGGACCCTGCTGCTCAGAGCTGGCATCGCAAGCCAGCTCTTAACCAACACGCCACTTGATCGGCCCAAAATTCACCCTTTTAGATGTTAGAGGCACAGTTCAGTAGTTTTCAGTATATTCACAAGGTTGTGCAACCATTACCACAATTTAATTCCAGAGCCTTTCCATCACTCCAAAAAGAAACCTGTGCCCTTTCAAAGTCCCTTCATTCACTCTGACCCCCAGCCCCTGGCAACCACGAATCTTTCTATCTCGACAGATTTGCCTGTTTTTGACATTTCATATAATGGAATCACTCAACATGTGGCCTTTTATGCCTGGCTTCCTTCACTGAGCATCACGTTTTCAAGGTTTATCCATGCTGAAGCCTCTATCAGAACTTCAGTCTTTTCCATGGCCATAATATTCCATTGTATGGGTAGACCACACTTGTTTACCCATTCATAAGTTAACGGACATTTGTATTGTTTCCACTTTTTGGCTATTACGAATAAATCTACTATGAACATTTGTGGACAAGTGTTTATGTGGACATAGGTTTTCATTCTCTTTGGGGAGTGGAATGACTGGGCCATGTGGTCACTCAGTGTTCAACCTTTTGAAGAACTGTCAGACTGTTTTCCAAAGCGACTGCACCACGTGACATTCCTGCCAGTATTGTGTGATAGTTCCAGTTTCTCCCCATCCTCACTGACACTTGTCATTTTGATCATAGCCATCCTAGTGGGAGTGACGTGGTGTCGTTGTGGTTTGGGTTTGCACGTTCCTGGTGACTGACGATGTGGGACATCTTTCCATGTGCTTACTGGCCATTCGTGCCGGGGACCGAGAGACCCATCCGGAGCTGTAAAGGAGAGGCTGGTGCAAGGCACACTCTCTGGCTGCATCCTTAGCAAGGCTGGTGCAGCACCTCAGCATACGGAGGAGGTTTCCAGCACCCGCAGGTGGTTTCGATACGTTAGGTACTAAACATCTTGAGTCTGAGGCATTGGTTGCTAACAATCTGCAGCTGAGCACAGGAAGTTCCCTGCCCAAGGCTATCTCCTAACCTTTCCTGCCCCCGCATAAGCAAGACTATATAAATAAAGCATGGCTGCTAGCCTGGGTCACTGTTCTCCCATCAGGAGACAGCTGTCCACCTAGCACCCGCTTTCAAGTATTTCTTTGTCTGTCTTTT